ACAGAATGGTAGTGTTCACAAGGGTAATGGCAGCTCCACATATCTGATGTCTGCTCTTAGAAAAGTATGTCAAAAAAAAAAAGCATAATATCCAAAGCATTCTTGAAAGCAACACAGATTAACCTGTGTATCTTGCTGGAGAAAAAAAAAAAAAAAGAACGTTAAATGTTCTGCAAATGGCAAACTCAGTGTTGTAATGCCAACAGATTTCAACAGAGGCTTTGGCTGGAGTTAAGCTTCAGTGCCCTTCCTGCAAAGCTTTGGGTAAGGTGATCTATCGGTTCAGACAGTGGTAATGCTGCATTTTGGTCTCTAGGCAGGGAAGTAATAATGGCTGTGCCCTGAATCTACCAATGATCTACATGGGCTGCTATTAAGGCCAGTCTTTTTAAAAGCTAAACTAACTGGGAAGGAGAGTTGAATGGTTAATTTTCATTAAAACTAAATTGGGGAGAAGCTGAGGCCTTTGCAAGAACAGAAGACAAAACTGGTAAAAGCTGAGTTTAAAAATTAATTGCTTTGCTCTCTTCTCTCGTGCATTTGCCCCCTGGACCAATAGAGTGAGAGATGATGCTAGAGACATGTTTTGGCAGGATGTAAATGAACAAAGATGTGAGTAAATACATATAGTTAAAAATAGTGGAATTAGGATCAGGCCTAGAGGCACCTTGGTGGAAGTCTGGAATAATTAACTGTAAGCACTGGGAAGTTACAAGTAGTATAGGGCTGGAGCAGGTGGGGAAGGGAGCCCTTCAAGCCATACATGAGCTGTGTCCTGTGCCCCTGCCTGCAACTCTCTAACTATAAAAAACTCCCTCCATTCTTGTCCCAGGTCTGTCTGAGGTGGCCCTCTGGGCCATATTCTTGTTTCAGAAGAAACATGTTTTCATAATACCCCTACCTCCAGATTTATGTGTGTTCCCTTAGGCCCCAGCTTTGGATGCAAAACTATCTTCTCATTCAGCCTTATCTCCTCTGAGTCAAATGGCCCATCCTTCCCCTGCCTGTAGTTTGGTCTAGGAAGTGGTGGGGAGCTGAAGAAATGACTGCAGGCCTTTTGGGCAGCACGGGGACACCTTTCACAGTTGTGTGTTTGAATTGTATCCCATTCACCTTTTGTCAGGACTGCCCAGTAGCAAATGAAGTGAGCACCTATATTGTAAGAAGAGATTGGGACTGATCAGGGAAGTTCCTCTACAGAAATCCTTTACCAAATGGGTTTAAAAAAACCCCAAATGTTGAACAAAGACTTGAAGACTATCCTCCTTGCAGGTGATATCTTGCCAACTAAAGAATCCTCTGACTGTATCGGTTCAGAGCTGGGTAAAGGAGTGTAGGGTCTCATTAGCAGGACTTGCAAAGATGTTCTTTGGGATTCTCCAAGGGGTTCTCCAAGAAGCTGCAAAAAAGGGGCAAGTAATTTGTGGCAGCAAGTAAAACTTTACTGGGGATCAAAACAGTCTCAAGACAGACTCAAGTAGAATGAAAGCTGATTAGTTTAGTTAAAAGGCAGAAATAAGCACTTCCTTCTGGGATTACAGGAATAGCATTTTAGTCCCAGTTCTGTAGCCAGGGGCTTCTTACAAAGCAAAGTGATGAACTTCAGTTTTGTGCTCTCAGCTTTGCCTGGGATTGGCAAATAGACCTAGACTCTGCAGCCTTGATAGACTTCAACCAGAGGAGAGAGGTGGTGTTTTGTGTGTGGCTGGTGTTGGCATAACTTCTACCAACTCTGAGAGTAGATGACTCAATTGGGGTCTGGAGCAGGAGAATGACTAAGTGGAGAGGGGCCAACACAGAGCCGTTGGCAAAGTATGGCTGAGACTGACCCTGGGGCAATTCTGCTTGGCCTAGCGATGGAGAAAGTGCTTTCTATCTTTGAGAATGCAGGGAGGAGAGCTCTTACACACCATCATCAATGCAGGCAACAGTTCACAATGGCAATTTTGCTAATGCAATAATGTTGTTATTGTGCTATTGTTTATTTTACTCTTGTTTAAAGCACTGGACCTGTTCTGGCTGAGAAATACTGAATGTTGGTTTGTACAAAGTCTCTCTTCAATGAACAGTTCAGGAAACACAAATAGGTGCATGCATGAATGCCTGTAGAGGTTCTCAACCTCAGCCTGAGTTTTGAGACTTCTTTGCTAAAGGCGTAGCTGATCAGGTTGTTCAAAGGATACCTTTGATCTTAATCAGAAGTCCTTCAATTCGATTTTTGTACTCACATTTGTTCAAGAACTTGTTAGTTAGACTAGTCTCAGCCACTAAATTTTTAACTGTGAAAACAGACACTGATGAATTAAATTGACAAATTTTCTCCTAATCTCACATTCTCTGAATTCTGCATGTGTATTCAACCACTCCTTTCAGAACAAAGTTTGAAGACAGCAATTCTAGGCAAAAGCCCAGCTGCTCACCTAATGTACTTGTTTTAACTGCTGTTTCAAAACCAGTGGGCCTACTTAGAGGCTTTAGAGAACAAAGGGGTTTGTAAATGGTACATGCTACCAACAAGAGAGGTCCTTAGAGGTGATTTTCATCATGTGATTAGAGCCATGATAGCCTTTATTTGAAGGGTGATTGCAGATTATGACATCTTTGGGTTAATAGCTCCTGATGTCACCATCATTTTGTTTAAGCTTTAGGTTAGCCTTAGCTAACCCTTATGTAGTTTTCCCTTTGGAGATGTTTCACAGTGGTAAGAGCAACTAGGTCAGAGGGCAAAAAATAACTTGAAGCAATAGTAAGGACTCCAAGTAGTCCCTTCTGAGAGCTCTCATCTTTCAATTCAGTGGGTCTGCTTTGTTTTTTTCCTTTTTGAAAACCAGCCATGCCTGGCAGAGAAAGCAGACACATCCAGCATGTTACCCAGAAGCCATCTTTTAAAGTATGTGTGTGTGCATGAAGGGACAATACCCTGTCTAGCTCTATGCAAAATTGTTCTCAAATGACCAACTTGCTTGATCATCACACACATCCTTCAGAAGGACCATGCCCAAACACTGAAGGTCTGATACAGGTATGAGGGCTGTTGCTTATGGCTCTATCTTGCCAGGGTACAAAGAAGAGGTTTTGCTTAATGACTGCTAGTCAAACATCAGGCAGAGAGATGCAAGGAAGGACTATTACCTCTAGTAGTGTGCAGAGGTTAAACTTTGAACTCTTAGTATCAGCCTGTTCGGGTGACTCTTGTAAGGCAATGCAGCTGACCTCCTGGCTAGAGAAGCAGAAGGAAGATAGATGGACTCCTTGCAAGGAGCAGGGAATCCTCTCTTCCCCTTGGGCCTGAGGGCCCTGCTTCCCCAAGGGAGGACAGCTAATAGCTCCAGAGAGTCAGGAAGGAGCACAGCAAACCTTCTGCCTGCTCTTGCTTTTGGGAAATGAAGGGCTCTGCTCAGCAGGTGGTGCCTCCCTGAACTTCTTTTCATTTTTGCTCCCCTCTAATGGCCAAAAATCAGAGGGCCCCTTTTCTGGAGACCATGATGTCACAGGCTGTGGTGACTGGTGCCAGAGGGTGCTCCAGGCAGGCTCACAATTACCCAGCACTGCATCAGGATGGAGTTTTCCACAGCTCTGATTGCTGGGTTTTATCCCTGTTTTCTGTTACATCTCTAAAGAAATGCACCTGTATCGTGGTTGCTGGGAGAAGGTGTTACAGCTAAACTTGGGAAAGAGAGCAGCGAAGGCAAATCAATAAATCTTCACAAGTCTCAGTCTTCATGGAGTCAGTGTGTCTTCCTGCTTACATCCCTGACAGAAGGTCTCTGCTCTGACGCTTGCACTGCAGTTCTTCCCTCTCCTTGGAGCAAGTTAGATCCACTGCCCGGGTTTTACCCAAAGTAGCAAATCTTCTGCAGGCTGATCTCCTATGAAGCCTCAATCTATGCAAAAATGTGCATGTTCATGTGCTCAAAGCTTTGGCTTTTGAACAGCTATGCTATTTATTGTGTTTCAATACTTGCTGTTGCCCTTTTTAAAAAAAACCTCTTCATTTGAAGTGCCAGAAAATTTAAATAATACCTCATTTGGAACAGCTAGGGATTATCATAGAATGGTTTGGGTTAGAAGAGACCTTTAAACATCATCCCATCTCAACTCCTCTGAAAAGAGGAGGCACATTTTCAATTAAATCAAGTTGCTCAGAGGCCTGTTCAGCTTTGAATATTTGAGTCTCTCTGGGCAATCTCTTTCACTGTTTCACCACTTACGTGGGCATAAACTTTATATTAGCTGAATGTAAGCCTAACAGCCCAGGGTAAATTCTCCAGCACCTTCCATCAAGCTCTTGCTGCAATGTGTTAAACATAGGCTCCTTTCCAAAGTTAGAGAATCAATCGGGAGAGAAAGTTTGTTTCCTTATCCTTACCATGTCTTCCCACCTGTTGAAGCTACTTAAGCCAAACTGCAGTATGTGTAACAAAATCATGCCTTACCTGCTATGCCACATCTGTTGGTGTCAAAAGAGTTAAAAGGTCTTTTGATCAAGAATGTGAAGATTGTTCTTTGTTTTTGTAGTGTGGTTAATGTGGCAAAGAAGCTGCCCCTGGATGGCCCATGTATGAAATCATATGCTCTGCAGTCAAGAGGGACATATGAATTAGGGCACGATCCTAAGCTTTGATGAAAGCTTGCAGTGCTTGTGCAAGAAGATCCTTCAATGACTTTCTCTGCTCCGATGTGTAAATCACAAGTAACAATCACAGGCAGTAAAACAAGCTGATTTGGAGGTAGTTATGTGCCATCTTAGCCTGCTCAGCCTTGCCTCCTGTGCAGAAAACTGTCTGTCCTCTGCACTGGTGGGGATGGCAGCATAGCTCAGACCAGCAAGGGCCTGTTTGAGTGAGGCTGACTCTGTGCACACTCACTCTTTTCCTGTAGACTCTGTCAGGGGTCTCGTATTTAAGGCCAGCCTGAACTGGCACATCCTACCTGGAATTAAATAATTTTTTTTAAAAAAATCAACCACTCTGCATCCTCTTTTCCCTGTCCCCACCTGCATGGAGCAGGTAGGTAGTTGGTGGCAGTACAGTGACAGTCAGCTAGCCAACCAGCAGTGTGTGGTGGACACACTGCTCCTGTCCCCCACAATGACCATGTTTAGCTCCATCCTAGTTGGTGTAGCTGCTCTCTTGACTCCTGCCACATATCCACTCTGTTTAAGTCCTTCTACAAGCTGCTCTGTACAGTCTTTTTTGTGACATGTGCTATGGAAGTGGTTGATCTGCAAGGCCAGGGAACTGTAAGTGCTTCTTGCCCTTTACCTATCCTAAAGCTTTGGATTTGTTGATTTGTGACATTCTTAGGAAGACGATTACCTACTCTATAGAAACCACTTCCTGAATTTTGGATCCTACCAGGATTTGGCATGCTGTTACTCATCCTGAATGGTACCTGGAGTCTTTCACAAACAGCTACATGCTCTTCAGTCTTGACGAAAGGCGAACATGCTGTCTACCACTAAGTCAGTTTGTTGTTTACTCTCCTGTTATAGGAAATTTATTTTAACACTTGGAGTCTGAAATGTGATATTTGTGCAAAAATCAATTATCTTGTAGTCTCAACCCCAGGGCAAATCAGACTGTAGGTGATGCATATCAGAAACTAGTCCTCCCTCTGTATATATTGGTGAAAAAGTGAGTCTCTACCAGAAAACTGAAACTCTTGTTGCAATTAGCAATTTGAGCTTTAATTGAGCATTAAATTTATTTAGGGCTACCTCAAAGAAGAACTATTTCTGGAATACTGTAGAAGCAGTCTAGTGGGAAATGCGCTCTCCAGAAGCATCCACAACCTTATTTCATGGTCCTCAGAAAATTTCCTTTCTCTCTGAGGTCCTACCTAGCCACTGTGGCCTCTGAATAAAGGCATGGAGGCTTCTGCTCCATAATCTCTGTCTCCTCCCCACTCATGTGGAGGACAGAAGATTGCAGCCCTGATGTGCCAACGGTCTGAGAAATGTTGCTGGGGCTCTGCTTCCTCACCTGCAGGATCTGAGCTCTGTGCAACTTATTGCGATGTGTTTATTTAAAAGTCACTATGATGTCCACATTGCATATCAGCTTGTAAAGCATCCGGAGTCCAACAGTGATTCTGAACACAGTGCCAGTGTTTGGGCACTGGACTTGGCAGCTCTCTGCATGCTAGCCCACCCAGATCTGGGAGTGCAGACAGGTGTATTTGACATTGTGGAGGCAAGAGGATAATCAGAATGTCACAACTCAATCTGGATTGCTCAGGTAAGCTTTCAGTCCGTGAGAAAGCTCTGCCTTACTAAGAAAGACAGGGATCTTGGAGGATGCCGAGAGTCTCATCTTTTCTGTCTGCCTCTGTTCTTTACATGTGTTGTTCCCTTCTGCCAAAGATGTACTTGGGGAGGGCTTTCCACCAGCTGCCTGCTCAGGTGGCACCAAACAGCTGAAGTCATGAGCTCTTCCTGTAACTGAACATGCCACCACCTCAGAGATGGATGGACAGACCTGCTCTAGGAGAGGCAATGTTCTTGTTCATGTGGCATGAAGCAGTTTCAAAATGAAAACTTTAACTACTGAACAAAGGATTAGGTTAGGAATAAAAAATTATGTCAGTATCAGCACCTTTTCTACTCAACTAATCCAATTTACCCTTGCATGTCCCAAGAGCGTTCTCTCTTGTGATATGGTGTCTTACATAAAGGAGACCTTGTTTAACAATTGCTAAAGAGTAGGTCAAACAAGCAGGTATTTTGTACTTGTTGTGCCTCAAGCAGCTAACCACTGTACTCCATCTGAGTACAGCAAATCCACAAACAATATTCAGGTAAAGGAGTCAGCAACAGTGAAACAGTTGTCCAGAGCATGGAGAGGGGCCCCAACATGGCTTTGCTGCTGAATAATGAGACTGAATGTCAACTTGTATGCACTAGAAGCTAGTGCAAAAAGTACCCTGCTTGTGTGGCTGCACCTGGTCTTTTGGTGTGTAGAAGCCCTTGCAGCAGATGAAAGTTGTCTTCAGCATGTACCTGAGTATTCTGCTTAGTGATGCTACTGCCCAAAGCAGGTGATGAAAGATGAAAGACAAGTGACCTGGGATGGAGATTGTGCAGTCCTTGAGCTGCAGTCCTCTGGAAGGGGCAGGACCTCCTGGGAGCAGGAAACACTAATGTGAGAGCTGTGCAAGGCACAGTGGGAGCTCATGCTACATGCAGGATGTTCTCCCAGTGCATGATATGGGAAAAATACTGCTGCTGACATGTATAGGCTGACCTTAAACTTGCAAGTGCTCTACAAAATAGGGAGTGTAAGTCAGGATGGTGCAAAAATCACCAAGGGATTTTAATTCCTATATGTCAAATTCTTCCTCATTTTCTCACGCTAGTGCACTGTCAAAAACAGAGCAAATTGTAGATGGCCCATTCCTGGAAACTTTCGAGGCCGGGCTGGATGGGGCTTTGAGCAACCTGGATTAGTGGAATATGCCCCTGCTCACAATGGAGGGGTTGGAACTAAATGATCTTTGAGGTCCCTTCCAACCCAAACCATTCTATGATTCTATGAAATGTCTCATCGAGGGAAATATTCACCTCCTGTTTGAAGAGTCAGCAGTTAAGCAGACGACTTGTGTACAAGTGCATTGTACACAATGAGGCATAAGGCAATGAGGCAAAAGCCTCCCCAAGCCTGTGAGCTTTGTAGGGTGCTGCTGTTGAACGTGTAAACACATGATACCCGGGGGAAATACCAAGCTGAGTGAAGTGACCAGAGGGTGCAATGAGATATGCTGTGTTCAGGGGATTTTGACTATATGGGAACCATTTTCAGCTGCAGGAAGCTAAGTAGGAGATTACCTAGAGCCCATTTAATCTGCAGCAGCAGTGGCCAGATACTGCAGTCAATGGTGAAGCAGGTACAACAGCTAGCCGCAGTCAGGGTAAGGGTGTTTCTGCCTGTTGTTGGTGACAATGTTGTTATTACCCTGCCCATCTGCTCAGGGGCGAGCTGGGATGGGTGGGCCAGGTACCTAGTGAGCGGGAGGGCCCCCCAGAGCCCGACGGGGAGACCGGAGCCTCCCACTCCCTGTGCTGGGCAAGGAGCGGGAGGCTCCGGTCTCCCCGTCGGCCCGGGAGGTCCCCAGTCCCGCCCCCGGTGTGATGTTGGGGCGGAGCGCATTCCCGGGATTATATCCGCCGGTGTGAGGCCGGGGAGCGGCTGATTTTGGGTTGCGCCCAGAGATGCTGGATATGGAACTGAACGTCGACCCGTCGGAGGTGCAGCCGCTGGGAGAGTATGACTTCGAGAAGAACTTCAATACGACGGCAATCAGGAAATGGATGATAGAAAATCGGTGAGAGGAGAGGAGGTTGCAACTCCGATGCACCCTGGACCCCGGGTAGCCCCGTCGGGTCCTGCTGTTTCTAGCAGAACAGGTGGGGGGGGGGCCCTCAGTTCCGAGGAGGAGGAGGTTGGAGGGCGCTGGTTGCACACCTCAGACTGTTGAGGAAGGGCTGCAGCAGTGCATGGGGCAGAGCAAACAGGGGTCCAGGTGGTGCTGCAGCCTGTAGGGAGTTGGTGATGTGTCAAGAGGGCAAAGAGCAGCCACGGACGGCCACTGCAGCCCTTGCACCGGCAAAAAGGGTACTCAGCCCTGACATGCTGCTGTAAAGCCTTGGAAAGGAGTGGGACACAACACAAGGCTCTTGAGGCTCTAGCTTACTGGTGTAACTGACCTTTTTAGACATCCTGCGTAGGCATCCTCTGCCTATAGAGTCTCATGTGTAAATGGATAAAATGCATTGGTGTGTTTGCTTGGGATCCTGCTCATAGGCGACCAGAACCTGTCTCATCCCATCAAGGTTTTGTGGAAATCTCCATGATGTAGCAGTTCACTTTCTTTTCTGCAGTCCCCATAGTTTTTCCTTGCTAGCTCTACTCACTGTCAGGGCAGACTTTCTTCCAAGCCCAACCTTATCATAAGAATGGGAGATTTTTTTTCTTGGTGAGAGCACTTCACTGAGGCTACAGAAGTCTGGCTGAAAATAGGTCAGTTTGGGTCTTTTCCTGATGGCTCCCTCTCCTCTACTTGCAGGGACAAGCCTTTAATTTTTGGTGCTATTTATTTGATCCTGATCTTTGGAATCCAGCATTTCATGAAGGAACGGAGAGCCTTCCACCTGCGGACACCACTGACCCTGTGGTCCTTCAGTCTGACCTTGTTCAGGTAAGAAACCAAACTCCTTTACCAAAACTGGAGATAGCTGTAGATCTTCCCTACAGATTGGATTGATGGAAAGTTCTGGATATCCATGATGTCACTAAGGAAATAAACTATTTTTTTTCCCCATGAAGGCCCTTTCCAACTAGGGGAAGTGACCTGCTCGTACAAGTAATTTGTTTCTCACCAGAAATATTCCAGCAAGTGGAATGAGCTGCAGAAGGACCACTGGGGACTGTGCTTGAAAATCATTAGTGGGTAGATATGGATGTGAAGTCTGCAAAAACAGAGATCCTCTCTTATTCAAAGGATTCCTACTTATTACAAGTTTGATTTGAGGTTTATTACTCTTTAAAATTGTTTTTTCCACCACCACCTTTCTCTAATCCTGGTGTGTAGGAGGTGGGGAAAATTCTGCTAAGCTCACAGAAGCATAGAAGATTAATCTAAAATATGTTTTCAGACTGTCCAGTCTTACAGTACTGGTTTCCTGCAATGACCGTGAGACTGTTTCAGCCCATCCTCTGTAACTATAAACAAGCAGATGTCAATTTTCAAAAATTCCCCTTATCTCCACACCTCTTCCTGTCTTTTTTGTGAGACAGAGAGAAATTAGATTACTGCCTCTAACTCCAGTTGGCTTTGATCAACTCAAAGGGACACCGGTTATCCTCTGTTAGGGCTGGGCATGGCAGTGGTCTGTAAAATCACAAGTTGTGTGAGAGGGGAGGTCAGGGGATGACTGTTCATGGTCTGTTCAGAGACAAGCTCATGCAGATGAAGCAGGTTGATAACAAAGAAGAAGTGGTATTTCTCAAAAGCTGTAGGAACTGCCTGCCACAGGAGATTGTAAATGTTCCCTGGGCATGTCCTGTGGGCCCATGTCAAGAGGTGGGACATCAGGACAATTGTTCCCCTTTTCTGATCAGCATGGCAGCTTTTGCTCAAGTGCCTCTTCAAGCAGTGGAAGCAGAGAGTGTAACAAGGGAGCATTCTTTGATGCTCAGACCTTGGCCGCTGTCACCCTCCAGGAGCTGCATGGTGGCACCAGGCAAGCTGAAGGGCTGTGTTGGTGTCTCACAACCTACTTACTCCTTGTGTCTTGCTGCTGTTTTGGTGGAACCAGCAGCCTTTCACTGCTCTGTCTTGCAGGAATATCCTGGCTAAAAGGTGTTGGGCAAGCCTGTGCCCAGCAAACAGAGAGCTAAAACCTTCTGGGAAGTAAAAGAAGATAACAGTTTGTTTAGATGTCGCTGAAACTACCCTGGGCATTGAGATTGAATTAGCTGAATATCCTTGAGTGCAGAGATGTCAGAGGCTCCCAGGTGGGCCCTGGGAACAGTGTTCAGCTCTTCTCTGATTTTCTTGCAGTGTCGTTGCAGCCTCACGGGTCTGGAAGCAAATGGCCTTCCTCCTTCTTAACAAGGGATTTAAGCAATCAGTGTGTAGTCAATCTGTCTTCGTTCACCCTGTCTCCAGGCTTTGGTTATTTTTATTTGCAATGAGCAAATTTGTGGAACTGGGTGAGTCTGAAACTTCTTATCCTGTGTGTTTGTTACTGTTACTTGGTTGTTTAGCTTTGCACCTGTCACTTGTTTTCTTGCTTCCTCAGATGATATGCTTGCTCTCCAAGGGGTTGCAGCCTGATGTTATTACTCTAGTTTGATCCCCAGGCCAGTGCCTGGACTAGACAATTCTGCCCTGGAATGACTGCAGTGAGGGGGCAGCAGACAAGTAGGCAGGGAAGGGCTGGGCTTTCTGCCTAGTTTCAATCCAAAGAAGTAAAGAAGAGCTGGTCTGAAGTGCTGTGTAGGTAGAGCTAGGTAAGCAAGCCTGTACTACAAACATGCCAGCAGATAGGGTGCCTGAATGATCTTTTTCAATACAGACTATTTCAATGTGAACTTAGGTTTTGGTGGGATCAAGCCATATAATGGCTTCAGTATTGAAGCTTGCTTATTCTGCCTCATGTGAAAACTTGTGCAACTGCTGTGCTTTCACCAAACTAACAATGCACCTCTCTCCCAACTCAAGGTGACACTGTGTTCATTGTTCTCCGGAAAAAGAAGCTCATCTTTCTCCACTGGTATCACCATTTAACCACAGCAGTTTTATCCTGGTATAACCATAATGAAATGTCGGCTGGTTGTGGCTGGGTTGCAGCCTTGAACTTCAGTGTCCATGGTCTCACATACTCCTACTACACTGTGACAGCCATGGGCATCCGGGTACCCAAGTCCATTGCCATAACAATCACCACTTCACAAATGGTGCAGATGACGGGATTTTTAATAATGAGCATCTTTATGTTCTTCTGGAAGGATGATAAGGTCTGCCGCACCACCTGGCCACTGCTTCTCAGTGCATCTTGGATTTATATCACTTTTTTGATACTCTTTGTCAACTACTTCTTCAAAACTTATCTGAGTGGCACCTGGAAATCAAAGGAGGAGTAAAACCAGGGACAGAAGAAGAGACTGGGGTGGAGGTGGGGAGAGAGGGAAAGGGGAAACTTTTCACTTCTGTCTGGATCTCAGGTGCCTAATGGGATGGGTGTGATGAGGGTTAGGAAGAGATCACTGTGGATAACAGCCTTCAGATTAACTTGTGCATTGGCCTTTGGTGTGTCTGCCTTGCATTGGGGGGCATGCCAGAGTGAGGTGCGAGTCGTTCCAGTCTGGTAACAGGAGAAGGGGGAAGTAGCTGGGGGCTGGAGACCTTGGAGCTGTGGTTCTGCTTTTTCCTCTTTGTGTCACTTGGGTTTGCCTTGTGCCTCGCCTCCTTCCCAGGGACTGATAGGATCCTCCGTGCCCCAAGACTCTCCTTGGAAAAAAGGTAATGAAAGTCCTCTCAAAACAGCACTACCCTCTCCATGGTCCCTGGTTCTGGGGGAGAGCAGGAGAACAGAGCCCAAACCTACTGCTACTTTGCATGTGGGGCAGCCGCCATAGGTTACTGGTAGGAACAGCACTGACAAGGAAAATCCCTGCTGTTTTGTAAGGTTGCATTTGGAGGGGCTCTGCCCAGGCTCTCCCTTCTTCTCTGTGGCGTGAGGAACTGCATCCCATGAACTTTAATGGCTGTTATCTGTGGTGTGCCTTTTGTACAATATTAAACAATCTATTTAACTTGACTAGCTGCTGTCTCAGACTCTAGGAGCTGAGCAGGGTCCAGCTCTGCCCTGCAGATTGTGCCAGGCATTGCTAATGGTCCCAGCCCAGGGCCAGCCCTATGGGCTGGAGGCAGAAGGGTCCCAGGATCAACTCCTCTCAGAGGGCTTCTGCCACTGTGTGATGTGTTAAAATGACTAATAAACGCTGTCATATGAATTGATTGATTGATTGATTTTTTTTTTTATGTCTTTTTTGTATTTGACCTTTGTACAGAACTGTGAGAGAAGCGTTGCTTTCTCTGTTTCAATACTTTGTCTTTCTGAGGGTTAGCAAGGTATCTGGCAGATTCAGTCCCTCTATGCTTACCCCTTCTGCAGTCATCAACAGCTGGTCTTGCTTCTCGAGCCCCTTTGCTCACCATGAGGGAACTAGAAATGAGAGAGAGAGATGATAAAATTCAGGCTCTTGTTTTGCCATCTGAACTGAGCATATGGATTTTCAAAGTCATTGTGCTTCATGAAGTCAAGATGAGCCTCAGAGCCTGAGTTTGACCAGGAGCACCCTTGTCCAAGCCTCTGGTTGTGTGCTGGCTCCTACCTGGTGAATGGGATTTGGCTGTTTGAGGCAGTGGGCTAGAAACCTACCACAGGGCTGTGGGCTGCACTTTTATCCCCAGGAGATGGCATCAGTCTGTGTCCTGCCCAGCCTTCCCTGACAAGGGCTCCTACTCTGGACTTCCCAGCGTGGTGGGTAGTAGTGTAACAGCACCTTCCACAGCTTTGGGAAATGCAGAAGCAGTCAGCTGAGGTGTTTGCCCTCCACATTTGGAAGCTCTCTTTAGAGAGGGGATGGTGAACATATGAGAGTAATGGGGTGATCTCTCTCCTGCATGGTGCTATTTGGGGCACTTTCTGTGACAAGCGTGGTGCTGGTGAGGCAACTGCCAGCTCTCTCCTTACATGTGCCCACAGCTGCCTCAGCAATGCTCCCTCAGCTGTCTCAGGCATCTGCACAAACACCGGATCATAGAGTCACCAAGACTGGAAGAGACTTTTAAGATCGTCAAGTCCAGCCTTCAATGCAGCTCTTCCACTGTAACCTCTAAAACACTAAACCACATCATTCAGGGCCAGATCCAGAAGTCTCTTAAACACCTCCGGGGATGGTGACTCCACCACCTGCCTGGGCAATCTATTCCAATGCCTGAGCACCCTAACAGTGAAAAAAAAATTTCTAATATCTAATCTGAATTTCCCCTGTCTCAGCTTTAGGCCATTTCCTCTAATCCTTTCACTGCAGGCACGGAATCACTACAACCTCCTTTCCAATAGTTGTAGAGAGTGATAAGGTCTCCCCTGATCTCCCTCTTCTCAAGACTAAACAAACCCGGCTCCCTCAGCCATTCATCACAAGACATGTTTTCTAGTCCTTTCAGGAGCCTTGTTGCTCTTTGCTGGAGATGCTCCAGCAGCTCAATGTCCTTTTCAAAGTGAGGACCCAGAACTGAATGCAGCACTCGAGGTGTGGCCTCACTAGGGCTGAGTACAGGGGGATGATCACTTCCCTAGTCCTGCTGACCACACTAGTCTTGATACAGGCTGAGAAGTCACTGGCCTTCTTGGCCACATGGGCCCACTGCTGGCTCATACTGAGCCAGCTGTCAACCAGCACCCCCAAGTCCCTTTCTGCCAAACAGCTCTCAAGCTGCTCACCCCCCAGCCTGTAGTGCTGCAAGGGGTTGCTGCGACCTAAGTGCGGGACCCGGCACTTTGCCTTATGGAACTTCATGCAGTTGTTCTTAGCCCATGGATCAAGTCTGACTGGGTCTCTCTGTAGAGCCTTCCTACCTTCTAGCAGATCATCCAACTTAATGTCTTCTGCAGATTTACTGAGGGTGCACTCCATCCCTGTGTCCAGATCATCAATAAAGATGTTAAACAGGACCAGCCCCAAAACTGAGCCCTGAGGATCACCACTAGCAACTGTCCACCAACTGGATTTAGCTCCATTCCCCACAACTCTCTGGGCTCAGCCAGACGAAAGCACTGAAAAGTGGTGTTTCCACAGTCACCGTTTTTCTGCCTAAAATGCCTGACGTGTTTTTGATGCTTCAGAGGTGATGCTCTGTAGGATAAGTGAGCCATCCAACTACTCTCACTCTGCTGGTGCTGCCCCACTCAGCAGTGCAGACCAGGGCACTGGAGGCAGGGCTCTGCATCTCCAGAAGACTTCACCTCTGGAAGAGCTCTTTATAGGCCCATCCGTGCATGCTGTTTGGGTAGGAAGTATCTTTCGTGGGGCAGGAATCAACCCAGCAGAAGGAGGGTTTGCTGAGGGTGTGTTGCAGAGACCCTCTCTCCCCCTTCAAGAGACACTGCAGCTCTTCAGATGGCCACATCCATCCACTCAGAATGTGAGGGTACCCCCCTTCCAATGCTGCCTTGCCCCACCTGCCCTACACGCTCCCCAGGGAATGCACACCATCAGCAAGCCCAGCATTTGCCCCTTTGCTCTGCTGTTCTCTCTGGCTAAACAAGAGATAGCAATAAATTTGCCAGACCTAGGAAGGGGAAGACTTATATTTCTCATGTGTTTTATATTATTTTGGCAAGTTTTCTGGAGTGCTGAGCTGTGGGTGAGAGTAAAGTGCTTGCTGGGGCTTAGGGAGCTAATAACAGCACTCTCCCAGGTCAGTGCTATTTCCCTGAAGCTCTCTGGAAATGACTCCTCCTGGTACTCTGTGAAGAAAAGTCCTTCTTATGTGTGCTGGTGAGCTGAAGCAGACAGTGGGCATGCTTTGGAGGGTATGTATCTTGAGGATTTGTCTATTTTTGTTGGTTGGGGGGGGGGGGCTTGTTTGTTTTACTTTGAGGGAATGAAGAGCAATCGGTTGCCTCTCATGCAGGAGTCACTGCTCAGGGGGAGCCATGGTCCCCACCGAAGGCGTCTTTGAGGACCCTTGCACAGCTGGAGCAGCTTGGCTTAGGGGCAGCCGAAGCTGTACGGAAGATGTACGGAGGCTGCGGGATGCACGGAGGCTGCGGGATGCAGGGGAGCAGCCCTGCAGCTCTGGCGCGGGCCGGGCAGAGGACGTGCTGCAAAGAGGAAGGTTTCCTGGGGGCGGGAGTAGATGGGGCCCCAGGTTGCGAGAATGGTGAAGCAGGGCTAGGGAGCCGGCGGGGAGCAAGAGAGGCTTTTTTTTCCGGAGGCTTTATCCGTCCTCCGGCGCGGGGCAGGAGCGCGGCGCCCACCGGCATCCGCTGCCCGCCTCTAGATGACACCCGCCGCCCGCGCTGCCCGGCGGCAACGGGGTCCGAAACGGCGATTAAGACAGAAATTAGAGCCACCTCTCACAGCTGTGGGTCTACCTGAGCCCAGTTGTTAACAGGTGCAGCAGGGGCTCGGAGGTTCACATCCACCCCGCCGTTCGGGGCTCTACTGACAGCACGCACCAAGCAAGGGGAGTCAGAAAACATCCCCCGTTGTATGAACAAGAGAAGAGGATACTGAACAGGGTCTGTGCTATGCTGCTTTTCGGTGGAGGGGAAGCACTGATGGCAGCCACTGAGGACACCCAACTGTTCGGTGCACTTTGCCTTAGTCTTCAGACTCGGACAGCTACGGGGAAACGGAGAGCACAAGCCATGCCGGTGATGGGGGCTGAAGGCTGTCCTTGAATAAGAAAAGTGCAAGAGAGTATTTAGATAAACAGGAGTTTTTCAGACTATCTGGGTGTGGTGAACTTCACACAAAACAATCCCAGAATTATTGTTATCTATGAGAACTCCTGAGAGACACTGAAGCTTGGAAAGACTGTAAAATGCAAGCTTTGTACCCCCTCTTCAAAACAGGGACTGGGACTAAAAGCCCGGGACTGCTGATAGTTAAATCCCGGCCCCCATCACCACCCAAAAATGCTAGAACAAATAATCTCACTGTTTGTAAGCAGTGGAGATGAATGGGAGGTATATGGACCCATCAAGAATGGAATCTGGTCAAAATAATCCAAATGTCCTTTATGACAGAGCAATGGCACGGTGAAGAAAAGCTCTTACTGCCATCTAGATGAGATATTGGGTAGGTACAAAATCCATTGAATAATTATAACCAGAAGTACCCACAGGTCACTGTTGAAAAGGAAGGGATCTGTTGAGTGAGGTTCAGGGACATCTGTTCCAGGACTGGTTTTGCTCAGCATTTCCACTAATGACCTGGATGATGGAGGAGAATGTGCACTTGCTAAATCTGCAGATTGGGAAGTATCCAGTGACAAAGTTATCTGCCTAACAGGTCTTCAGAATAAGCAAGACCCTGCTAAAAATGGCCTGCTTTCTTTGCAGTAC